TACTGGAGTTGACAAAATATAATGCGAGATAAATGGTGCTTTAGGATAGTAATTAAAATATCTGCCATTTCCAGGATTAAAGTTAAATAGACTGGTGCTCATTTAGAAGACTGTAAACAAATCTTTTCTTCGAAAATTAGATATTTACCTTGCTTCTTACTCAAAAATGGGTATCGAAATATCACCAATTGAATAGGAAATTATTTTTTACTTTAAAAAATTCTATAAATTAATTATACTGGGCTGCATCATTTGTATACTGCCATTGGATCACAGTTTGGCTTGTTAGGAACTGTAAGTTTATGCAAAATAACATGCTTTTACATCAAATTTAATTTTCTTTCTCTCTGTTCTAGGTAAAGCATCGAATATATCGAGGTAAGATTTCAGGCTTCTGTTTTCTTTGTAATAGTTTCTCAGTACAGGTGTTTCTGTGGGTTCTAATTTGACTGGAAGTAAATACCTTGACTTCTTAGGTCTAATTCGCCTCTTCACAATTTTACTATTCCTGGTTTGTGTCCTAAATGACAGCATTTTAGGATTGAGTCACCACCTGTTGAGACAGGAGCCCAGGAGAGGGGACAGGTCACACTGGTGGGAAGACGTAGGTGTGTTTAATTCCGTTTAGAATAGTTAAGGAATCTGGTGAGTCTGAAGCTTGAGGGGAGTACTTTGGCCTGACCTGGCTCACGGGGAAGTGTAAAGATTACAACACTGTCTGAGGTTATCAAGCTTAAGGCTTAGAGATGAAGACAGATATCGCCAGTCAAAGTCTGTGTCACAGCAGAGGCTTCAACTATGTGTTGACTCATCAGTGGAAGGAGCTTGAATGTCACTAACGAATGAGCAGAAATGAAAGGATGTAAAATGGGGATAATGAGGTCTGTGCAGGCTTCCCAGGCTGTGACGGTTATGTGCAGCTGTGTGTGGGGAGGCAGGACAGCCGTCTGGCACACATTTATTAGGTCCTCGAATGCTGGTGTTTCTTGTGGTGAAGTGCAACCTCAGTGTAGGGGATAGAGAGGTGTGACCTCAGGGCAGCAGAGATGTCACGTTGTTAAAATAGAGGATAAGTCTGTAGTTTGGGGTCAGACAATATAATTAAATGCCTGTCAGGAGGTTCTGGCTTCCTGGGCCCTGCTCTCGGGTCTTTCTGTGGTGTTATCCACCTGTAAGGCGAGTGTTTACCTACACGGTGCGTGAGAACTTTCGTGTCTGGGGCTGATGACCCTTGTGACTCAGATTGTAAGGTGTTTATGTTCTCTAGCAAGTAAGAGGTAAAGCCAAGATTGTACCCAGGGGTGTTTGATTCCGAAGGCTGTGTCCTTCCAAGCTACCCACCGTGGTTCTTATGAAAGGAAATTTTCTGGCAGCAGAAAGACATTGGAGGTTTTTGAGTAAACAATCAAGTGACATTAGAAGGATTTCTCTGGGTAAATAAACTTTGGGTGGAAGTGGGGAAAATCCGAAAGAAGTCAGGAAATTTCTTTTTTTCTTTTGCCTTTTTAAAGCAATTGCAACAATCTACTTATTTTATTTGATAACAAGAGGACAACATTTAAGTACATAGGATGCTTGATTTTTTTCTCTTCTGTATCTATTGATGAAGATGCTATTTGAACTGTTGACATTTTCTAAGCAGTTTGTTCCTTAATGATGTGATATTAGGTGGAGACATTGTATTGTGTTTCCCCATTTTTGAAGAAAGTTTGAATAGGAATCTCACTTTAATAGAGTTCTTACCTTCACATTTCTTTTTTGCATTTAAAATGCTACTAACTAAATTTGCCTTCTTCAGGGATCACAGTAATGCTGAAAGGATATTTTTGCTCAGAGTACCAGGATAACGTGGCTTTGCTTTTGAAACGTTGGGGTAATCCGATTTTGCTTGTTTTGGTGATAATATTAGAGATTGGTTTTTTTATCTCTTTTTAGTTAATTTACACCGGATTTCTGAGGCGATCAAGCGTTGCATGAAGAAAAACTCAGAACTTGTAGAAGAAATATCCAGGTGCACACAGAAGGTATAATCAACCTTTCATTCCCATTCTCATGGCCTCCCCTTGAAGGGCGTCTGCCTCCTTCTAGCTCGCTGACTTCACTGTCTCTTCTTTCTTTCCTCCTGGTGGTCCATTTCATTATATTCTGTAACAGCCCGTTCAAAGCAAACATCATACCCACGTAAAGTACTGTTTTCTTTGTTTCTGTAAGGACTCACCCACAGGAGATAGGTTTTTCTATAATTAATGGTTTTGATTTCTGAATCCATTCTTACATAATTGTATAGATAAACGAAATAAAGAAATACACTAAAGAAGCCATGAGGGAAAATAAAATTCTCTCCAATGAAGTACATAGATTTCAGGTTAAAAAAAAATCCCTTCTTTTTCCAAGATTACACACCACAAAAACAGAAGTAAAGTAATGAGTGACTATTACTGACCTCTGTGTTTTCTTGTAGGATGATATCGAAACACTTGAGAAGATGAATGAAATCCTTGATGATGTCATTCGAGAAATACATACCGAACTACGATCTAAGAGAGATCAGAGTGTCAAGAATCGCAACTTGGTGAGAATTTTGCCACTCAGTGTTACTGTCATTTGGCTTCTGAGGCTTTTTTGTGCGTTGGGTGAATTGGACCCTGCATTCTTCCATGCTGCTCATTTCAAGCATTAATACCACAGTAACATTTCTTTTTTAATTTAAGGGCCTAGGAATAATTTTATTCACAAACCTGGGTAATTTTTATATCATTTAGCACTACCCTTTAAGAAAAATAGAAGTGAGAAACTGTAGAAGAGAATCCTATAGGTTTCAAGCCATGTTGGACGGTCCTATCCCTCTTAATGAGAGCAGAGAATTTTCGCAGTGAATCTGGGCACAGTATGTATCTTTCACTAGGAAAACTCATTCATTTAAGCTGTATGGCTTGAAAGATTTCAGACCTTCTTTGTTTTAGCCTTGTCACTCAGTTGACTAATCCATTGTCTTGAAAGCAGGAAATTCAACTTCCCATGAACTATTTATACCTTCTTACAACTTCCATGTGTTTGACTTTTCTCTTTGGCCCAAACTAGATCAGCTGCTTTAATGACACAAAGGCTGGTATGAGATGTGTCTACTAGACATTTCTTTTTAGCATATGGCCCAGTGGTTTCTTTTGAAATCCTAGTACATATTATGTTTCCATCCTACATGCACATAGTGGATAAGAAAAATCTACAGAAAATTTGTAAACGTGTTATTTCTTTTTTTTTAATTGAAGAATAGTCACTTACAATGTGTCAGTTTCTGGTATACAGCATAACGTCTGAGTCATACATATATATACACACATATATATGTATATTCATGAATATACACATATATTCATTTTCTTGTTTTTTTATTAAATATTATTACAAGATACTGAATATAGTTCCCTGTGCTATACACAAGAAATTTGTTTTTTTAATCTATTTTTATATATAGTAGTTAATATTTGCAAATCTCAAACTTGCAAATTTATCCCCTCCTACTCACTCCTCCCCACCCCGGTAACATAAGATTGTCTACTATGTCTGCAAGTCTATTTCTGTTTTGTAGATAAGTTCCCTATTGTCTTCTTTTTCCTTTTTTAAATTCCACTTATAAGTGATATCATACAGTATTTTTCTTTTGCTTTCTGACTTAACTTCCCTTAGTATGACAGTCTCCAGGTCCATCCATGTTGCTGCAAAGGGCATTATTTTATTCTTTTTGTTGGCTGTGTAGTATTCCATTGTATAAATATACCACAACTTCTTTATCCAGTCATCTGCCAATGGACATTTAGGGTATTTCCATGTCTTTGCTATTGTAAATAGTGTTGCTATGAACATTGGAGTGCATATATGTTTTAGAATTAGATTTCCCTCTGGATATATGCCCAGGTGTGGGATTGCTGGATTGTATGATAAGTTTATTTTTAGTTTTTTGAGGACTCTCCATACTGTTTTCCATAATGGCAATGCCAAACTACATTCCCACCACCAGTGTAGGAGGGTTCCCTTCTCTCCACAGCCTCTCCAGCATTTATTGTTTGTGGACTTTTGAATGATGGCCGTTCTGACTAGTGTGAGGTGATATGTCATTGTGGTTTTGATTTGCATTTCTCTTATAATTAGCAATATTGAGCATTTTTTCATGTGCCTATTGGCAATTTGCATGTCTTCATCGGAGAACTGCTTGTTTAGGTCTTCTGCCCATTTTTGGATTGGGTCATTTGTTTTTTTGTTATTAACTTGTATGTGCTGTTTATATATTCTAGAAATTAAACCTTTGTCAGTCACATCATTTGCAAATATTTTCTCCCATTGCATAAGTTGTCTTATTATTTTGTTTATAGTTTCCTTTGCTGTCAAAAGCTTCTAAGTTCAATTAAGTCCCATTTGTTAATTTTTGCTTTTATTTCTATTGCCGGGGTAGACTGCCCTAGGAGAACATTGCTAAGATTTATGTCAGAGGATGTTTTGCCCATGTTTCCTTCTAGGAGGTTTATAGTGTCTTGTCTTATATTTAAATCTATAAGCCATTTTGGCTTTATTTTTGTGTATGGTGTGAGGGGGTGTTCTAACTGCATTAATTTACAAGCTGCTACTCAGTTTTCCCAACACCACTTACTGAAGAGACTGTCTCTTCTCCATTGTATATTCTTGCCTCCTTTGTCAAAGATTAATTGACTGTATGTCTGTGGGTTTATTTCTGGGTTCTCTGTTCTGTCTCACTGATCCACATGTCTGTTTTTGTGCCAATACCACACTGTTCTGATTACTGTATTTCTAGAGGATTATCTGAAGTCTGGGAGGGTTATTCCTCTAGCTTTGTTCATTTTCTTCAGTATTGCTTTGGCAATTCTGAGTCTTTTGTGATTCCATATAAAGTTTAGGATTGTTTGTTCTAGTTCTGTGAAAAATGTCCTGGGTAGTTGGATAGGGATTGCATTAAATCTGTAGATTGCCTTGGGCAGTATGGCCATTTTAACAATATTGATTCTTCCAATCCAAGAGCATGGGATATCTTTCCACTTCTTTAAGTCACCTTTAATTTTCTTAATCCATGTTTTGTGGTTCTCCACATATAAGTCTTTCACCTCCTTGGTCAGATTTACTCCTAAGTATTATCTTATTGTTTTGGATGCAATTTTAAAAGGGGTTGTTTCTTTATTGTCTTTTTCTGATTTTTTATTGTTAATGTAAAGAAATGCAACTGACTTCTGTCTGTTAATCTTCTATCCTGCAACCTAGCTGAATTCTTTTAATCAGCTCTAGTAGTTTTTGTGTGGTGCTTTTAGGGTTTTCTATATATAGTATCATGTTACTTGCAAATAGTGACAATGTTACCTCTTCTCTTCCAAGTAGGATCCCTTTTATTTCTCTCTCTCGCCTGATTGCTGTGGCTAGGACTTCCAAAGCTATGCTGAGTAGAAATGGTGAAAATTGGCATCCTTGTCTTGTTCCAGATTTTAGTGGAAAGGCTTTCAGCTTTCCACTGTTGAGTATTATGCTGGCTGTGGGATGCCATAAATAGCTTTTATTACATCGAGATACGTTCTCTTTATACCCACTTTGCTAAGAGTTTTATCATAAAGAGGTGTTGCATTTTATCAAATGCTTTTTCTGCATCTATTGAGATGATCATGTGATTTATATCCTTTCTCTTGCTTATGTAGTGGATTCGAGGTACATTTACCAGGTCAGCACCACCCCCAGCACCCAGTTTATGTACGGTACACAGGTCCACTGAAAACACTGTACCTGTACCTGTCCCTGTGGTGCACCAGGACTCTACTTGTTGCTTGTATGTTGTAGAGATGTGTGCCCTCAGAGCCAGCAGTGCAGATCTGCCAACATCAGGCAGTAGGACCTGCCACAGTGATAGTGCAATCACACATGTGGATCCGTGGTGTGTTACTGAGTCAGCACCATCCCCAGTGCCAAGTGTGCATACATTATGCAGATCTGCTGAAAAGGCTGCCTGTGCCCCTGTGGTGCACCAGAGCTCTGCTCCTTGCTCGCTCGTCCTAGAGACACGTGCTCAAAAAGGCACCCATGAACCAAATCCGCCCCCTCTGCCTGGGGCTGCAAAGAAATTTCAGTCTCGCCTGTGAAGTTGCAGGGCCCTTGGGTATGGATTCAGGTTTCACCCACCTCCACCCAGGAGCCCTGCACCAGCTAGTATGATGGCTTGACTGAGCCCCACCTCTCATCTTATGAGAATGCATCAGTAGTGTTGCTAGGGGCCTGTGGAGACAGTGGCTATGGCCTGGCTCTGCTGCGCCCCTCACCCCCATGTGCACCAGCAGTGTTGCTTTTTTGTGGGGATCCCAGGCTATTCTGTTCTGTATACACCCCCAGCCACAGCCCACAGCACACCCCAGCCCCCTGAGACTGCCTCTGCACAGTCAGCCCCAGCCCTCTACCCGGGCTCCAGCAGCCAGTCCCGGCCCACCCCTGCCATCTCTTGTGTGCAGAGCTGGGAATTGATCGCAGGGACCCTCTGTGCTGGTTTCTGTCAGTTTTGTTAGCCAAGCAGCTGCTGTGCACTACTCTGAGCCTCAGAGGCCCCCTCTGTCCCTGCTGACCTCTCTGTTGGAGAGGGCGTGTCCTGGAATAAGAGCATGTCTCCTCCTTTGCGGCTGCCTCCCCACGGGAGAGGTCCTGCACTGATTTTCTTTCTTCCTATTTTTTTTTCTCCTACCAGATTTTGTGAGGAATCTTTTCTTTTGAAGTAAGAGATGTTCTGCCAAAGTTCAGCAGGTGTCCAGAGCAAATGGGTGGATCTGTAGATGTATCTCTTGATGTATTTGTGGGAGAGGGTGAGCTAAGAGCATCCTTCTACTCAGCCATCTTGGCACTACCCCCCACCACCCCGTCCTGAAAGGCATTACTAAAATGAACATCTCAGAAATTCCAGATGTAAATTACCTTTGTTAGCTACAGAGTTCTGTTGTACAGCTTAGCTTTGATGAAGAACAAGTATGTCATGTCTTAGAATGTTAAATTTCTATGTTATCTGCTTGAGGATTTTTGTTCTTGGGAACTAAGTCATTAGTGAGACTGTTTGTTTTAGGTTCAGTTCTCCCCTCATGGAGTTCATGTCAGTAAAGAAGAACATCATGTCCAGAAGAAAAATGCTCAGCTTGAGAACGAGAAGGATCAGGTAACAATATGTACCTTTTAAAGATTATATAAATCAGAGATCTGAACATGATTATTCCTTTTTAAGTTTCTTATTTTTAAAAAATGTAAAATTCTCCACAACAATGATTTTCAAGTCTACATTGTATTAGTGTTAAGTACATTCACATGTGTACAGTGTTGTTGAATATGCTTTCTCAAATCTGTCTTGCAGTCAAGCATTCTGAGGGCAGGATCTGAGGATTCGAAGCACAGAGCCTTGACGTCTCATGAATGCAGCCTGGAAGGTATGTTCCTTGTTGGGAAGAAAACCCCATGTACAGCCTTCCCGGGAGGTATTGCAGGCTTAGTTCTGCACCCCCACAGTAAAGTGGCTACCACAACAAGGTGGGTCTCATGAATTTTTTTGGTTTCCCAGTGCATATAGTATAAAAGGTGTGTTTACAGTATTCTGTAGTCTATTAAGGTAAGCAATTGCATTATGTTTAAAAAAAAGGACATACCTTAAGTAAAAAATACTTTACTGCTGACAACTACTAACCATCGTCTGAGCCTCAGAAAATCATCATCTTTTTTGTTGGTGGATTGTTTTGGATCGATGTTGAGGGCCGCTGACTGATCAGGGTGTTAGTTGTTGAGGGATAGAGTGGCTGTAGCAATTTCTTTCTTTTTCTTTTAGCAATTTCTTAAAATAAGGCAAAAGGAAGTTTGCCACAGCATCAGCTGACTTTTCCTTTCGTGAACAATTGCCCTGTAACATGCATTGCTGTTTGGTAAACACAGTAGAACTTCGTTTACAGTTGTAGTCAACCCTTCTGAACCCCGCTGCTGCTTTATCAGCTGAGTTTATATGCTGTTCCAACTCCATTCTTCCACTTCAACAGTCTTCACCTCTTCACCAGGAGTAGATTCCATCTCAGGAAACCACTTTCTTTGCTCATCCTTAAGAAGCACTTTCTCATTTCTGAAAGTTTTATCATGAGATTTCAGCAGTTCAGTCACATCTTCAGGATTCACTTCTAATTCTAGTTTCTTGTTATTTGCACACATCTGCAATTACTTCCTGCTGTGAAGTCTGAACGCCTCAGAGTCATCCATGAGGACTGGAATCAGCCTGTTGCAAACTTCCCTGTCTGTTGATACTTTCCCCTCTCCTGACGCCACTCATATTCCTAAGTGGCATCTAAAATGGAGAATTCGTTCAGTTTGCTCGGTTGAGATCCATCAGAGAAGTTGCTGTGTATGGCAGCGATAGCCTTACAGAATCTATTTTTTAAATACTAACACTTGAAATTCAAAATTACTGCTAGAGCTGTGGGCTGCCTAATGGATATTGTGTTAGCAGCCACGAAAACAGCGTTCATATCATTTCCATTAGAGCTCTTGGGTGACCAGGTGAGTTGTCAGTGAGCAGTAATATTTTGAAAAGAATGTTTATTTCTGATCAGAAGGTCTAAACAGTGGACTTAAAATACTCAGTCATCCGTGTTGTAAACAGTTGTGCTGTCACACAGGGTTTGTTGCTTCATTTACAGAGCAGAGGCAGAGTAGGTTGAGCATAATTTTTAAGGGCCCTAGGATCTTCAGAATGGTAAGTGAGCATTGGCTTCAAAACTTAAACTGACTAAGTGCATTAATCCCTAACAAGAGAGTCAGCCTGTTTTGAAGCTTTGAAGCCAGGCATTAACTTCTTTCTAGCCGTGAAAGTTCTAGGGGGTGTCTTCTTCCAATGTAAGGCTGTTTCGTCTGTAATGAAAACCTGGTGTTTAGTTTAGCCATCTCCCTTAATGATCTTAGCCATACCTTCTGGATGACTTTCTGCAGCTTCTGCACCAACACTTTCTGCTTCACCTTGCACTTTTATGTGATGGAGACGGCGTCTTTACTTAAATCTCATGAACCAACCTCTGTAAGCTTCACACTTTTCTTCCACAGCTTCCTCCCCTCTCAGTTTTCATACAATTGAAGAGATTTAGGGCCTTCTTCAGATTAGACTTTGACTCGGGGATGTCGCGGCTGGCTTGATCTTCTGTCCAGACCAGTGAAACTTTCTCTGGATCTGCTTTAAGGCTGTTCCTTTTATCATTCTCGTGTTCAGGAGAGTAAAACTTTAACTTGCTTCAGGTTTTTATTTTGTTTTGTTTTGTTTTGTTTTGCCTTCTCAGTTTGGATATCTGTTTGGTGAAACAGGCCTAGCTTTCTTCCTGTCTCATCTTTGGACATGCCTTCCTCACTAAGCTTGATTTCATTTCTAGCTTTTAACATAAAGTGAGAGATATGCTACACCTTCTTTCATCTGAACTCTTAGAGTACAATGTAAGGTTGTTAATTGGCCTAATTTCAACATTGTTTTGTCTCAAGGAATAGGGAGGCCTGAAGGGAAAGGGGGAAATGAGGGAAGAGATGGTTTGTGGAGCAGTTAGAACACACACAACATCTATCAGTTAAGTTTGATGTCTCTTATTGGGAACAGTTTGTGGGGCTCCAAAATAGTTGCAAAAGTCACATGAACAATCACTGATCCCCGGTCACCTCAACAAATATATTTTATTTCTTTACAATGATAAAGATGGGGATATATTGCAAGATTACAGAAATGTGACATGAAGTCATGGAGTGAACCAATGCTATTGAAACCATGGCATCAGTGGTATCACTATCAGTGGCAGCTATAGCCTTACAAAATGTATTTCTTACATAGTAAGACTTGAAAGTCAGAATGACTCCTGGATCCATAGGCTGCAGAATGGATGTTGTTACCAAGCATGAAAATAGTGTTTATCTCATACATCTCCATCAGGGCTTTTGGGTGACTAGGTGCACAGTCACTGAGCAGTACTGTTTTGACAGAATGTTTTCCTTTTCTGAGCAGTAGGTCTCAACAGTGGGCTAAAATCATCAGTCAACTGTGTTGTAAACAGATGTGCTGTCACCCAGACTTTATTCCATTTATAGAGCACAGAGTAGATTCTGCATAATTCTTATGGCGTGTAGGATTTTCAGAATGTTAAATGAGCATTGGCTTCAAGTGACAGTCACCAGCTGCATTAGCCCCTACCAAGAAAATCAGCCTGTCCACTGAAGCTTTGATGCCAGGTGCTGACTTCTCTCCAGCTATGAAAGTGCTGGGTGGTCTCCTCTTCCAATTTTCTGCATTGAAAACCTGTTGTTTAGTCTAGCCACCTTCATTAATTGTCTTAGCTTGGTCTCTTGGATAACTTGCAGCAGCTGTTGGATTAGTTCTTCCTGCTTTGCTTGCACATTTATATAGTGGAGATGGAATCGTTCCTTAAACTTCATGGACCAAAA